AGATAGGCCTAACCCAACCAATCCCTACAATTAAAAGCTTAAAAGCTTAAACTTTAGCCCATTGGTTTGTCTTTTTTTTTTTAAGCATAAACTTTATTAGTTCCAAATCTTAATAGACATCGGTTCCTGAAATTCAATCTTCATTAAGTGGAAGAGAATCGTACGAGATTTTTTTACGTTTTTTTGTGAAGCAAAAGTGGCCAACTTTGGATCAAAAAGACATAAACAGAAATGGTTTTTGATTGATTAACCATACAATTATACTATATTTTACAAATGTCTTTTTGTGGTGTTTATTTTTTATTAATTATCATTATCTATTTCTTTATAACTTTGATTTATTCGCCAAAGCTTTACTTTTGAAGTGGAAGTAAAAATTGGATCATGATCTTTAAAACAAATTCTGGGGCCGCCTCCGAATCCTCGTCCCTAAGCGTGCAGACATAAAATTTTTTTCGTGAGTCCGCCACTGGAGCAAACTATCACCAATGGATACAGTCTCAATGACTAGTGTACATAGTTGAATATATAGAATTTTTGAGAGAGAATAACTGACTTGTGGTCTCTTCTTTTCATATAATATTGCACATGCTTTTTCCCTCAAAAAGGGCTGAGATGCATGCGCAAAGATATGAGCGTGTTAACATGTTGGAGCTAAAGAAAGCATTTTTGCTTTCTGAGGATAATATATATCCCATGCTTTTGGAGGGTGAATGGATGAGAAAAGTACAGTACAGGAGCACCAAATACTGTTAGCAAGTCATTTGTGGAATGTGGGGCTATACTATGTGCCCTTTCTTGATTACAATTACAACTGTGCTATGTAAATTGTTTTGCGGGGGATGAAAACTGAATAACCTTTTGGTTATTTATGGTACGTACATAGCATCCGATGCACACCAACAACTTTTTTTTGGAACATGTTGGAGCCCAAATTAAATGCGGACTTCTGTAGTTCCCATTCTATACATTCCCTCCTCTCTTTCTTTCACGTTCTTTAATTTGGAACATTGTTTTATCCCGCAGTTATTATATTGGCATCTTGAAATTGAGTATCGACATGCTGCCAAGCTCGTAACAAAAACAGTACTTCCAGTACTAGCACGGGTTATTATAAAATCATTTTTTTTTCTTATAGCTATTCTATTTAATCGATTTCAGATAGGACAAAGTTGTTACTATTCCTTTACAGTTCCATATATTCTCAAATTTCTCTCTGAAATTTAAAAGATCATGATTGTTACCAATCCTGCATTCTATGTTCCAACCACTATAATTGGAAATTTTTATGCTCAAGAATTATGTGAACTTTGAGAAGTTATCGGGCTTCAAATTCTATGTGTGCCGGTGACTACATAAATTGCAAAATTGGAAACCCTATACTGCTGTTTGCTCATATTTAAATCTGACTCTCTTAATGGTTAGAATGCGATTCGCATGGGTGACAACCATTTTCATCAAGATGGCATTAATTGGTGTGTGAAACCAACCAATTCATTTGGTGTATAGCCTGCTATGTTTTCCTGATGCCATCACCTTAATTAGGTTCTGATTCGTTGGCTGATTTTTCTTTTCTCGTTTTCTGAGGAGCTAGCTCTTTTGCCTCTTATATATGTACCGAAAAATAAAAAGGAAAAAAATACTAAAAGAAGATTACATAATAACGAACATATCTATATATAAGTCCCTACTTCTTTATCTCCCCTAATCTCTTATATATTATTTAATATAACGAGAAATAGAATCAGTCTTATTTAGCTTAGAAGATCAATAAACATCATTTTTTTTTTTTGCGTATTTTAACTGGTAAGTTATATAAAAAATAGTGCAAGTTTCAATAATTAAGGCCTTAATTTATTTATTTTTTTCATATGTTGATTGGATAATGATTTGTACGCGCGCAGTTCTCAGGTAATTTGCCTCCTCTGATCTAATCAAATGCTAAGCATCCACATCAGGTCTGATCTCAAGTAATTCGCATGTTTGGAATTCGAGCTAATAATCATATTCCCACTTATACATTACATAATGGATGGTGGCGTTTGGTACAGGAGAAATTTTTATTTGTCCGGAAATCTTGATTTTTAAAAATATGATTTTTACATTCAGTTTACGATAATCTCTGAAAATTTTAAATTTTAAAAATTTCAATTTCTCGAAAATCCGAAAAAAAATCCGTGTACCAAACGGCCCCTAAGGTTTTAATATGCGCCCTTCTAACAATGGTGGTAAGTAATTTTCTTTTAAAATTTTGAACTTCTTATTGTTATCCGCATTTTTTCTTGCAAACCAAGCCCATAAACCCATAACTTGGGTAAAAGCCAACTTCATTTAATGTGTGGATGGGCTCAAGGATTGGTTCAATAGTAGATATACAGTGGGTTTGTCTCGCAAAATAAAATTGCACTCATTATTTATCTATTTATTAACTTGATGGCAGTGGCGCATCTCTATGTTCTTAAACTAACCCTATGTATATATGGAGAAGGTACATCTTGTTATCATTTTGAACATAGGTGCTGTGGGGCTTCTTCAATATGCATTGTGATGAAATGAGGTGCAATTTTTTAGTGCATGTTTGAGTCAACGCTTGCCCAACGCAAATGGGTGTTAATTTAACCATTCAAATTTAAATTTGTTCGTGTTATTTATTTGTTTGTCTGTGCGTTAGGGTGTGCTTAAATTGGGGTAATTAAGCCCCAAACTTGCTTTTTTGAAGCAAGTTTTGCTTACTTAGAGTTGAGTTGACATTGCATTAGCATACTCCTTAAGATTATAGGGAACATAAATTGAATTATTATTATTATTTTTTGACTAAATTTGCTATCTCTTTATATATAATTTAATCATAGGTATTTATTAATTAATTATATATTTGATTTACCATTTATGGAAAATGATGTAATTAACATATTTATCTAACTGAACTAATTACACTTTATATCATATTGCTTATAGGCTATGTTGTACTAACGCTTCAAAAATCCTGAATTGCTGTGTCTAACATTTTGACACGCTTCGACATCTATAATATTTGAATTTTATTATATATCATAAAAATTAAAAATTGATATCGAATAAATCTCACGGGAGTGTATAAGAGATTTTTAATTTGAAAATATAATATTAAATATTTACATCTTATGTTTCTTTGCACAATTGATAGGTATTGTAAGTTTAGTTTCATGTTTTTATTAAACTATTGAATATTAAATATAATATACAATACATAAATAAAAAATATTATTTAATATCAAAATATATTCTAACGTGTCAAAATTTAATATTTTTTAAAATTAACGTGTCAGAGTATCGTATCTTGTATTAGTGTCGGTGCAACAGCTTATAGGTACCAAAACCTCTTGCATATAATGTCCCTAAATTGATTCTCCCAACAAAAACTTTCTACACCTACATTTGCCTTAAGGCTATATTTTAATCTCTTTCAGCTTGGATTCCATTAATAATCCTGAAAATTTATTGCTTATATTTTTGCTTTGTAATAGGAAACATGGAGAATAGTTGATGATTGTTGTATTTTAAAATTGTATTTGCAGAATCATAAGTAGTATTTCTCTTGGTAATTATATTATATGCATAATGCATTTAAACAATTGAAATACAAAGCATTTTCTAAATTTAATAATTACGCGAAAAGTAAAAAATATCCATAACAAAATTCTTACTATTTGTTAAAGTGTATTTCTGAAATAATGAATAAAATAAAAGAATAGAATAGACAAAGCAAAATAAAACATATATTCTTTTAATAAGTATGCATTCAAAAGTAATTTGGATTGACATTAATAACATTTATTATGTCAAAATTATTTTTCAAATAAAATTTCCTAAACATAAGTAATTCCTTAATTATATCAAAATCAAGCATTTTCTTTTCCTATCAAATGATGATAACAGTTTTATGCATTCTTTCTGAAATAGCGCAAACAAGATAATCTATGCAAGCACTGGTTTAGAATACGAGAAAAAAAAACCCAGCAAGTTGAACCAATAATGACTTTCATTAGCTAAATTGATGTAATAATGTTATATTTTCTCAGAATTTTTAAATTCAACTAAGTATATTAATAAAACTTAATTAATAATCAGGAAATAGCAAATAAAACTATAAAAAAATATTAGGAAGTGTCTACGATATTATTATATAGTGCAGATCGGCTGATCTACATAAAATAAAAACCAATGACTAAGAATTGTTTTATTGAAGAAAATAAATTAAAATGTATTAATTAGTGACAGACAAATTAAAAAGGTCTGTGTTTGTACTAACAATACAATTATAAGCCCAATAAAGCAAACGTTTGGATTAATTTTTTGAATGACTCTATGCGCGATTGTTTTCCGAATTTCGGAAATGACAAATAACTCTTTTTGGCATAAACAGAAACTTCCTGAAATAAGAGCTTGTGTCGTAGACTTTTGGTCGTTAAATGTTGAGAATGAAGAGTACTCATCTTTTCTAGGGAAAGAATTTTCCTAGAAGGAAACATGACAAAACAAAAACTTGACCTAAACGTACGTGGACCTTGTGGAATTTGTGTGTAGAAATAACTGTCTTCCACGTGTAAATTCTGTATCTCCGAAATAACCAGATTAATCAGATAACCTCTCTCAACATTTAGATGCAAGTAGCTTTCTTCATATAGTCAATTGTCATCCTTAAATATTTATATAGTGTAAATTAAAAGATAAATCAGCATATATACATAGACTTGTAGCTAGGTAGAAAATATGGATAATTATTGATTGGATAAGTAATTAATCAGCTGCACTAATACTCGTTAAATTAAAGATCATAAGAGTTAATAATATTTTAAGGTCTACGAAGAAGAGAAATACAAGCATGCACAATTCCGAAAGAGCTAGTGATAGTGTAGTAGTCCTTAGTTATCAACATAAACGCTCTTTAGCCATAAATAGATGCATATTTAAGTTATGGGATCAGAGTTCCCTGAGCTTTTGAAAGGTTGATGGACTTGGAAATTTTTCCCTCTTCCATTATTCGAAAGAGAAGACATACAGCTGAATTAGTAGGGTGAAACACCAACATTGGCCGGAGCATAAAACCCATCTTTCATGAGAACCTCCTCACCTTCCTGGACAAAACGAAAGAGACAAACCCACACAGTCAGAAATCAAAGTCAGGGATATGCATTATTTTGTCTGCAACATTTTGCAAGAAGAAGGTGCATGATTAAGTACCTGCTGGCACACATTTGTCTTCTTCACACTCTGATCAGGCATGAGACCAAAGTGGATGTGTGGGAAGTGGGCCCACTGACATACAAAGCACGTCACACATCTTAAAAAGTCCAAAATGAACTAGAAAACCATAGCATTTATTTGATTGTAGAAATAGCGGATGGGAATACTACATGCACTTCAGAAAAAAAAAAAAGTGACCTCGGTTCCATCCCACCGATGCTATTTTGGGGAGGGTCATAAAAGTTTAGGCTTGATTTCTATTTTGCAAAATAGTTTTTTAGTTTTTAGAACAAAAAAAATTAAAAAAAAAACTGGTTTGTTAAGACCTGTTTTGTAAAAAATGTTTTGAAAACTATAACTGTTTTTTGTTTTTAAAATCAAATTTAGAGAACATGTCTGAGTTATTTTTGTTTTCTGTTTTGGTTTTTAACTTTCAAAAAGAAAAAAATATATAAAACAACTGTTTCCATAACTATTTTACAAAATAGTTTTAAGAACAAAAAAACCAGAACACAATCAAACAGACCCTAAACCTACCAGATACTCGATATTAGCCTTATAACCGGCTCAAAGAGTTGAAGTTTGTGAAAATAACGAGAGAGCCTACTACCCCTCAAAAAGGTAATTAAAGTTAGTATAAAAAAATGAATTCTCGTCAAAGAACTTTAACTGTAACTAAGCTCCGACTCGGAATTAATCGTATTGCGACTCAAAAGTTGAAACTTGTGTGAATATTTGAGACCAACTCATCTCAAAGAGATAATTATGTTCAGTATAAAAAAAAATTACATGATTCTTTATGAAATGTGACATATTTTTTATAGAGAGAAATGTATTTTTTTTTTTTTCAGAAAATGTCAACAGATCCATGAATAGCGGTATAATTAACAACCTCAAACTTTGCAGGCAAATTTTAGAGAGAAAATCTATATCACTAAAAGTAATATTGAAACCCTAATATGATTATGTAGGAACCCGCTAGCGCTAGGGCTATTTACTTATTCATATTTACATAATATTCTTTTAATTAAGTATAGGAAGATAGGATCATACATTCTTGGCAGCAGCACTGAAGGCTTCCCTGTGAGTTATATCGGGATTCACAGACTTGATGCGTTGGATCTCGTCCCTGCAGATATATATATATATACATTGACCATTCAGATTTCCTTCAATTTTGAAAACAACAACGATGCATACATTTTATTTATGAATATGAAGTTCTTATATAAATGTGAAATAACGAGAGAGTGAGAGTGAGAATGCTTTTAAATGAATACTCACTTGATGAAGCGGTTGTACGCAGAGGGGACTCTCTGTCTCTTCTCAGGAGCTGGACATGGCCAAACACAGTCATGTCAAAATCAATTCCATTGCCTTTCAGTTACATACAATTTTTATTTGATCTTGCTATTCATGTTGCCTATCTTTCCTGGCATAAGGCATTATTGACTCTGTCCACATATCTATTGCTTCAGATTCTGATGATACTGAGTGCTACAAGTTTAAGCAACTATAATTCCGGGGGATAATAAGCTGCGCTATATATATGCCTCTCTCTCTACCACCTATTTTCCCAATGCCACCTTATAAACGCCAAAGTAACCTACGTCTTTCTTAACCTTTGTCGGTGCTAGCTTATAACTAGATATTAACCAAAATGAAATAAGTGAATTTATGAAAGTGAAACATAGCCTCATGAAAACTGGTTGTGCCCTAGAATCAGGAAACAGGTTTTACTTGTTGTTCTTTTACAAATAGTCCTCCTTACCCGTGGCAAATCCAGGATTTTTTATGATAGGAGAAGAAATTAAAATTATAAATAATAATAATAGAAGATACTAACTATTATAAATACTTTTGAGGAAGGGATTAACTATTAATATTAATAGCCTATTATTATTAAAAAATATTATTTTATAATATAAAAAAATAAAAAATTAAACATGTTAGCTAGCCCCTCCCTTGCTCGGCCCCTGCTCCTTACCATTGATGATCTTTTTTAGGCTTAATTAGGGTCAAGATACTCTATATAGTCCTGTCATTACTTATTAGGATCGTTGAATTTTTTTAGGGCATGAACACTTTAGTTAAAAACATGGAAGGGTTTATGTAGTTTCGGGACAGTGCATTAAAAGACCCTTTTCCTTCTACCAACGGAACTGGAACAAGAGTATCTGAAACAAGACTGTGAATAGCGACTAAAAAAGCAACGGCATGATTTTGTTCTTTGAACCATTATTTTGACCGAGGGATACCATGAGTTACTTCAGTTCTGTATATATATATATATATATATATATATATATATATTTATCAAATAAAAGAGTAGATTTTAAATCTCACGTCTATTTATGATCGGTGGCCGTGGAAGCTCATCAACTGCAGACCTAGCTGGCATAGAGAAGTCATTTGATGCATTTGGTCGGTTGATAAGAAAATTTGGAGACGAGTTTGGCATCTCCTCCTACAGAAAAAGAACCATCGACCAAGCAAGAAATTAGTTAGTTAGGATCAACATATCAGCTCTTTATCTCTTCACTACTTAGCAGTAATTAATTGTTTAATATAAAGGGGTAATTATATAATTTCTCTATCTATGTATGCATTCACTAATTTATCAAACAGATAAGAGTAAAGAAGAGAAAAAACAAATTATGGGCATGAGTTACCAGAAGGTTATGAGGTGGGGAGAAGAAAGAGTGACCCAAATGAAATTGATTGGGCGATGGCAGAAGCAACGCACGCATGTTCACTGGCAAGAGGTTACTGCAATGGCCGCATCGGACAGTGACAGTCTTGAACAAGCTTGTGCAGGGAACACTTACCTGAAATTAGGGAATTGAGGAGGAAAAAAATCAATGGAGAAAATGATAATTTAGTTAGTAATTAGAAACTAAAAACATTGAGTAAGAAAGAAAGAAATGTTTAGAAGAGGAGTAGCGTCTAGTTCTAGTAGCGTTAAGGTAAGAGGTGAAGAAAAACCCTAGTGGTGCAAAGTGGGAATGGAGGGAAATGTTGCATACAGCGAGGACGGTGTCACAAATAGTGCAGTGAACATAACAAAGCTGCTCGGAAGGAGGGAGGTGGTCCAGTGATAATGTAGTGGAAGAGGATGATGACATTTTCGGTAGCCCCTTTTTTTCTTATTAAAATTCGGTTGATGATTGGTCTCTTGATTGATTGATTGATTGATTGATAGATGGACAGGTTAACAACCACCTTGGATATGCTTTTTTTGATTATGAGTTGTGAAAGAAAGGTGCAGAGAGACAGAGAAAGAGTGAGAGGGAAAGAGGCTGAGATATATTGGTCTGGTAGATATACAAAGTGATAGGGAAAGCCACAGAAACCCTCTTCTTTCTCTGTTTATAACCCCTTGTTTATAGAGTCATTGACATGTATGCTACTATGCACAATGCATGCATGTATCATGTATATATTCATATTCATCATCATATATGTATTTGTGGCAGAGGGACTTGTACATGTGCATGTACATGAACATGACCAAGTTATATAACAAAGAAACATATATATGTGGTTGGCATTTCAATGAGTATGTGTGCAGAGCGAGCGAGAGAGAGAGAGAGAAGCGGCAGATGTGGGGGAGAGGAGCCAGAAAGGGACTTGAGCATGGAGTGATATAGCTTTCACACACTCTCCTGTTGTTTTCAACAGTTAAAGAGGGTTTTGTCTTGTGGTGGAGGGGGCAGGGGGGGGGGGGTCTCAAAACACCTTTTTTTTAAATATATTTTCCTAAATTTCCAAACAAAGGAAGAATGAAACCCAACTATACCAGGTAATGAACCCTAATACTTTTTCAACTATCCCCACTTTCTTCCTTCTCCGCCTCCTTAGGGCTCCTCATCACTCTCAAGCCTGATTGAAGCTACAGCCAGTGAAACTAGAGAAACTCCATAATAGCATATTGCCATAGAATACAATTTAATATTATAATAACATTTTATGAAAAAGAGGCATATGAACAAGTTTACTTTTGGTGATTTGACAACTCCCTCTCGCTGGCATTACACAGACTGATACGCATTTAAGTCAGTAAAAAACATCTCAGCAAGCAGACTTTCTCCTCTTGCTGCTTACCAAGCTTTTTGACCATTTTAATAGTATATCATCTTCGTGCGTGCGAGTTCAAGTCGTAATGTTTTTTTTTTTCTCATTCAAGTTATGCATATTTTTTTATATTATGTTTATCTCATTTTATATGACATAAATAACTTTTCTACACACACAAAAAAGGATTGAATTCCATCACTTTTTTTTCTCTTTCTTCTTATATGTAAATCTCACTTATTATTTTATTTTTACAACATAATATAAGTATTTTCCTACAACATGATAAAAGTATTTCCCTATTTTTTTTTATCCATATCTTGTAGAGATTGACATGTGATAGATTTTAGGCGACTTAATGTCCATTAGATTAAAAAATAATTAAAAACAAACTTAAACAGTTAAATAGTTTCAAAATTCACACTAAAAAAAGGTCAAAAAGCCTTTTTACCACCTTTGTCCTTTGCTATATTTCTATTTCTTTTGGCTTATGTTTGCTATTTGAGTTAGAATCTTGTTCATATGCTTTCCTATCCTCCACACCCACCCTCTCAGTGTGGCTTCCAAGTTTGATGGTTGTCAACTCCTTTCTCGATCCATTGATCTGAGGAAGATCTCATCAGAACCGTCGCCATCCATGCCCATGTAAGCCAATGGGATTTTCCCTGATCATCCCAAAAGAAGACAATTGTGTCATCATTCATTTGTAAATGGGATGGGTCAAGATGTCTTTCTTTATGCAATTTTATTAATTGTGTTTCTAATGGGGGAAGTTGTAAAGCTTGTTGGCCCTTTATAATTACACACCATCAAGATGGTCCAATCCAAAATCGATCGGAACCCTAAAAAGGGAACAAAACTCGGGACGGGAGTTGATTTTAGAAGGGAAATAGAAGGAAATGGAGGATTTTAGCAAGCCCTTCTCTTGTTTATGAGTTTAAAAATATGAGGGGAATAAATTGGAGATTTTTACTAAACTCTTTTTTTTTTCTTAAAATTAAAGTTCCTCCATTTTGGGGGTTTGAGGGGGGAAATATTAAAAATTAGTTATATACCCTTAGTATTAAAATGTGAAAATTACATTGTGAATCATTTTTAAATGTGAAATTTTTAGAAAAGTCTCAAATACCGACAGAATTTATCTACGAAAAAATATTTCGTCAAAAATAGTGATGAAAATCATATACGTCAAAAAATTTCTGTCAATACTAAAGACGAAATTAGAGACCGAATCAGATTTTGCCATAATCACTAACATAAATATTTTACGGAAAAAAAATTCAGTCAAAATTAGTGATAGAATCTAAATTCAGTCAAAACTTTCCACGAAAATATTTCCGTCCAAAATTTTGTAAAAACACATTTCCATCGAAAAATTTCGACGTAAAACAATTACGTCAAAATTTTTCCATAAAAACTTTTCACAAAAAATTGCGACATAAATTATTTTGAATAAAAACATTTTTGTGAAAAATTTTGATGGGAATTTTTTTTTTGTCAAAATTCTTTACGAAATCTAAATTTCGTCAAAACATTTTCTCAAAATATTTCACAAAGAAACATATTTATCGAAATTTTTGACGAAAAATATTTCCATCAAAATTCTCAACGAAACACATTTTCATCGAAAAAAATTTTATGGAAGAAAATTTCATCAAAATTCTTTACAGAAAATTTTTCGTTAAACATGTTTACAAAAAAAAAATTTATCAAAAATTTCAACGAAATACATTTCCTTTGAAAATTTTCGACAGAAAATGTTTCCGTCAATTTTTTTGATATCAAAATTTTCAAAGGAACACATTTCTGTAAAAATTGTCGACAAAAAATGTTTTCGTAAAATTTTTTGACAAAACATATTTTCGTAAAAAAATTTAATAAAAAATATTTCCGTAAAAATTTTGAAAAAAAATACTTCATTAATAAATTTTGACGGAAAAATATCCTGTCAAAATTCTTTATAGAATTTAAATTTCGTCGAAAGTTTCGAATGAAACATTTCTCTCAAAATTTTTGACAAAACTATTTTCGTCGAAATTTTGTCAGAACACATTTCCTTCGAAATTTTGAACGGAAAACATTTTGTCAAAATATTTGACGGAATTCTTTTTTCGTTTAAAACATTTGATGGAGGAAATCATTTTCGTTAAAACTTTTGACGAAAACTAAATTTCGATAGAAAATTTATTTTTATAAATAATCTTATCAGAGATAAACTTTTATCGCTTTTTGACGAAAAGTATTTCAACGAAAAAAATAATTTTATGCCGAAATTTTCCTCATTTGCAACGTAGAAATTTCGTTGATAATATGATCTTTTTAGTATGGTGAAAAGTACATAAATAATTTTGTTAAAAATTTTAAATTTAATTTAATTTGTAAATTATAATAATTATATTAATTTTAAAAATTTGGTAAAATGGTAAAATTATATCATTAACTATCTATTTTTCTTCCTTACCATTTTTTAACTCCCAAACAAAGGAAGATGATACCCTTCAATTTTCTTCCCATTCTTCTTCTCCCTCCCCGTTGGATCCTCTTCATTTCCTTTCCTTCCCATCTAAACTCTCAAACTAACGCGATATATAATCATGTAACTATGTAAGTCTACATGTGATGTACCTTTAAATATTACATTCGGTGTGGTATTATTGACCATATTACAATATTCGGTGTTATTTGAGATGACATCTTCAACGGTGTTATGTAGCATAATAGCAGCATAGTAATTGAAAATTACTTAAATAGCTATAGCTACAATATAATTTGTTAGGAACAAGTCAAGCACATAATTCAAATGGCCCCATCCTTAATATTTAAGAAGTGTTTAGATGCCGTGAGTATATTTTCTTCTAGCTCCACTTCTTCTTTTTTCCTTTGTATCTTATTTGGAATATGGGACTGTTAGTACACGTGGTGATAACTGATGTCTGGGGGCAATAGCTAGTCAATTTCAATTTGTACTTGTATGTTTGTTGTCAACATTTAGGCTGTTTCCATAGAGTAAGAAGTCATTCTCGTTGCTTCTTCACGATATGACATTACTAAAGCAGCCAAGGGACAAGGAGAAAAGCAAAACATGGGAGCATTTTTCTATAAAACTGCAATAATAGTAAAGACTGAGGGCTTGTTTGGATAATTTGTAAAACATATTTCATAGAATTAAGTCAATTAACTATAAACACTATCGGTATTGTTTGGATAGAATAGATGTGTTCGTGAGAATGACCGGTTAATATTAATATATAAAATATGAAAAAAATTGTAGTCGTTAAACCGGCATGCCAAAAAGGAAAGCAAAAAACTTACTCTGCTTTATGTCATTGTCCCACATTCCCAAACACAAAATGCATTTTAAATTTGAAAGTCAATTGTCATGAAAGATCGCAAATTGAAAGGATGTTTTGCTGAACGTACAAATGTTTTATTTCCCCTTTTTAATACATATGCAGTAGGGTTCTAGTGTATTCGGTAGTCATTTTTTTATCATTAGTTCAATTAGGAAGAGGTTATATTTACAATTATTATTTTTTTTTACAATCTTTTTCAATTATTTTTATTATCATTCGATTAAAATCAAATTAATGATTATAAAATGATATCAAATGAGAACCGTTGATTTGATTTTAATCGAACAAAGTGATTATAAGAGAAAAAGGGTTGTAAAAACAACTGCCCTCTTTCAAATATATTCTAAACAATTATATATGTGATTTGCTTCAAGTTTAAACTAATTACAATGATATTATATGAATATACATAATATGATTTCTTTCTTGTTTGAATACATCATTGAAATGTTGTAATCCATTAATAATCCATTTCCGTCACTTTTTTTAAGAGCCAGTTGGGTTCGTAGCACAAACGGATCGTTTGGCCTTCTTTTCCTTTTGAGTTCTACTTATGTATTAGGATGCGAAAAATCATGGTGAGTACAATTAATTCTAGGTATTAGAATTCATTTTAACCAAAGTTAGAGATTTTAGCTTTTCCGTTGAAAAGAATTGATTTTTAATTGATTTTAAGTGTCGAACCCACAAAAGTTTAAAATTGTTACCTATAATGACATCCCAAAGATGATTCTATTTTA